ACCAACTGCATCCAGACTTAAAGTGTAGCCCTAAATTGCACAAGAGGTGAAATTCTGGCAAGGCCAATGTATCTCGTTAATAATCTGAACTGAAGGAGATAAGCATAGCTTCAAAAGGAAAGTCCAGAGAAAAAGTCACGCCAACGTTTAGGATGCCACTGTGTGTTTAAGCCTTAACCAAAGGTTTGGTCAGAGTTCTCATCCAAATTCCATGTCAGAAAAAATGGCCCAGAAGAAGAGATCCTGACATTTCACTGTGTTCAAATGCCACTGAAATCTAGACGCCAGGGTAACGGAGAGAGCAAACTTATATTCTGGAAATTTTTGTCTGAACATTTGAAGCCATGGGTTACAGATGAAATATGACCAGTCTGGCACGGCCAACCAGACAAGCCCTACAAACAGAAAGCTGGGAGGAAATGACACGCAAAATTACCTGGAGAATCTTCATGAGTACCACTTCGTCGGATCCTGGATCTGTACCAACAAACCTTGCGTGGGTGACGGCATCCGCTATGTTTTCAATCCCTGAGGTGGCACCTTCAACTGATGTGTCTGATTGTGAGGGGTATAACAATGTTACATTTGAGAATCAAGGGGGCAATTTTTGGTTCAAGTAAAAATTTGACGGAATCTGAGAGAGTCAAGAAGAAATAAAAAGAGTTGTAACTGATTAGGCATTATGTGTACATTTTTGTGGGTCTGTCAAGCAAACACATTCACAAAACAGTGTGCTACCAAAAGGTTGCCAAGGGAGGCCATTTTTCATGTTTTATGGTAGACAAATGCATGACCACTTTGCTGTAATTTGCATTTGTGTGCATGTCAGGAAACAACTTGGGTGAATTTTTGATAGATTGGTACATTGCATGCGCTAGAAAGAAGACATTAATAAAATTACTACTTGAAATACGCTTAGAATCTTCTTCCCGACAACGAACATCAGAAATCAAGTTTGTTGCATGCAGCCAACAAAGAGAATTTGTTAACCATTTAACAAAGTCCCATTGCGAAAATGGCCTTTCCTTGGTACCTGTAACCTCTTAGTGGCCCTACCGAAATGTATTGTAAACTTGCTGCGTTGTTTAGGTGAAACTTAAAAAGTGATCCAATACTCGTTCACGATAAAGTGCAAAGAAAACAAGCTATTTCTTTCTTACTTACCTGCCTTTTGCAAACTTTCAAAAGGTAACCATGCTACTACAGTACATGAACATACACTTCCTACCTAGCATTCCATAGGACAGAAACTTGTTGATGGAGGACAGAGCGAAGCCTGTGATTGGTCCAGTAGTGTCTTCAGACCGGATGACATCGAGGAAAGGACATAAAAACACATTGGGCTCTATATCTGCTATATCTGAAAGGGGGCAAAATCAAATAAAAAAAAAGACTAAGAGCCTTGCATTCCATCAAAGTCTTTCACTGAAGTTGACTGAACTACAATGCACTTATTAGTACCTCAAATATTAAAAATCATAAAATCTATGGACTTTCGAGGCTGTGGAAATAATGTCCTTACATTTTTTAACCTGTATCCTTTTTATTTTTAGAAGTGGATGAAAATTATTGCTCGTATTGTTTGAATATCTCCAAGGGCCAAGCTACTCCACTATATTAGTTATTGAAAAATGGCTTTTTCTCAGGACTTTCTAGTACCTGTTCTGCCTCCCCCTGCCTACATTTAAAAGCTACTGCTCTTTCACATGGTGATGTTGAGGGCATTTATACATGACATCTACATGTATATGTATATTGTAGCGCCGGCGGGTCAGGCCGGTGGGGGCGCCAGCTCGGACCCGCATGGAGTTGGCTGGCTGCCCCGGCTGGTATGCGAACGGCCTGCGGTTTTCCCGCCTCGCGCCTGCGCAGTCCCTACCGACGGGCGCCATGTTTAGAGCTTGTCTGAAAAACACATTGCTGTGGACGCTACAGCAATAAAACAGAGATTTCGTGACCAGAACAGCGAGTTGCGGCTGTGTGTGTATCTATACTAGCATCGGACCCTAATCCGTAGGACACGCTACAATACTCTGTACATAAATGTACAAATAAATGTATACAAGGAGACCTGTACAAATGTGCATGTGCTGTACTTGGTATAAATATTAAATACCTGACTGGCTTTTGATCAACAGAACGGGCCAACATTAAGTCTGGAGGAATGTTCTCAGGAGAACATGCATGAGTGCATCTGATGAGTGCTTGGCTGAACAGCACGGGCTTGTAAAATACACTATGCACAGTGAACATATACACAGCAAACGACTTTAAGAGACGGACTTGAGGATAAGGAAAATGGAAAACAAGCCATGAAAACCAAAACAAATCACATTCAGCAAGTTTCATGACTAAGTAAGCAGAGGTAAAGTCTAATGAATGCCAACAACAGTTCTGGTGTTACATGTGACACAGCCTTCAACTTCACGACACACAGATATTAGTCCTTAGTATCCTTAATGGTTTCACAAATTACCCATGGAAGCATGACATTTGCTTCACTTAATGTCCCGAACTGGCTCGTTTGCATTCTAGCCTGGACGTACAAAGCTTGATCCCACAGAAATCTGTAGTAGTCTGTGATCATTCCGCGAGTCAGATAGAAAATCTGGGACAGTTGTGAGGAAATGACTTAATAAATTGTTGGCAATATCTTTTTTTACTGTTGTCGTGGCTGATACTCTTAAACATCTACATGTAACGGTTCCATGAATCATAAAAACATTTCAAACTCTTTGTTGCTGCAGGTTATGACAAATCATAATTTTCTAATTCATAAAATCCAATGACACAAAAAATGCAAACAAACTTTCTTCAAACAGAACTCTGAAAAACATCTTGCAGTTAATGTGAAAGATGTATGCGCATGTATTAGGACACTAAGTAAACAGAAAATGAAGCAAAAAGTATGTAATTTCTTGTTGATAAATATAATGACTACCAGGGGCTTATATCGGTAGCTAGCTCTGTGAACACAATAACTTTTAGCAGGTGCTACATAAGTATTTGAACAGTGCCCCCAGGTGTCAAATAATGTCATGTCCCTGCTTGTTAGTCCCCCTCTCCCCCGATGGAAGCTAACCCCCTATGCTAAAATAAAAAGCTGGTGAGAACACTGGACTTCAGATATGTACTGTATATACACAGGTTGTACGTATATGTATCATTTATCACGACCAGAAGCGCTTCAAATTCTTCTCATGATTTAAACTTTCAAAAAATATTTTTCTTAATAATATAAGGTCACCTTTAATCAAATTCTGACATGAAAAGACAGTCTGTACATGTCTTTACATGAACGGTCACAATATTGACAACTACATGTACATGTACAATGTAAGTCAGATTATGGTCACTAAAATTTCTTGTAATATATAAATGTAAAATTAGCAAAAGAAATAATTATGAGATGTTGGGTAGACTCAAGCTGCACACTTTGTATGTGAATGAATACACTACATGTGTATAGATCTGTACTCAACTGACTGATGTGGTTTGTATGCAGAGCCATACACAGGCCCACCTTATGCATGATTAATGAGATGCTTATTCCTTGTGAATAAGTAATGAGATGACAATTAAGGCACTGCTTTCCAAATGTCAGTTCTGTGGTGTACACAATCATACATGTACATATACATGTAAGTACATGTGTATTCATCTACATGTATGTACATGTACTGTACACGTTCTTGCAATTGTACACTGCATGTTGTACATGTAACTAAGTACTGGAATCTACACTGCAACCAATTTTGAGATCATATGCAGAACTTCTCCTTGTAATCTGCACCTTTCCAAAGAGTTCTGCTCTGTCAACAAAGCAACCCACACATGAAAATGCTTGATCTCTATGTCAAATGAATGATGACACACTCCCTCAAATGGCATGGTGAATGAAAACAAAGCTCCCACTTCAACAATTAAGCACAGCATATAATAAATCTATCTAATCACTCCCTGTGTCTTAAACACGCCAATATTTCAAGATACAAGGTATTTAAATTGCTTCCATATGGAGCGAACACTGCTTCTTCACTACACGTCTTGAGTTTGTGACGTACAATGTACATGCATGCAGTGGGATCTGCATACAGGAGAATACAGGACATGTACGTGTACATGTACAGTACACATTATACCCAATGCAAGCCGTGAGTTCCTTAGAGGATCTTATCGAGCAGATGCCAGCATGCATCCTGAGCAAAAGTCTTGGCCGTGTTGTCAGAGCAGGAACAGTGGGAGCATGGGCACTCACATGCATTACACGTACATGTAGTTGTGCCAGAGATTGGGTTGTACAAAACAGAAAGGAAATCCATCCATGTTGACAGCAGCAAAATGGACAGGTCCATAAAATATGAACCTCATCTTGACGTCATTAGCCCTTTGTACAATTCCAACCACATGTAATATAAACGTGTACATGCACCATACATGTATATTCCATACAGAGTGAACTGAACCAAAGACCTTAATTACAAACAAGACCAGAATAACAAATGTGATGTTTGCTTAAGTATATTAGAACATGGGCCTCACGTTGATGCCATTTCTACAAGACAATGCATGGAGGAAGGTTCTACGTGTACACATACGGTAGTACAAGTACATATACATGTACAGTACATGTACAATGTATGAGCACATGTACATGTGCAATATAAGTCCCATACAGCTGTGAATATCAAACCATGTACCTGTACATGTACACCTGCTTAACTTACAAAACATTCAAAGGCACACCAATACTGCCATTTAATCACATTTCTGAAAGTTAATTCAGCTTTATTCATACTTAGACTGGCATTATTTGTGCCAACAACATTTTGGATGAATCCAATATCCCATCCAACAAAGATTTTTGCTCGCACACAATGTACATGTATGTACGCAAGTGTATGCGCCCCCCAACACTGAAACAATACCCCCCCAGCACGTAAACACTCTTGCCAAATGTTTACCACATTATCCTTAATCATTATAGGGTATTCCTTTTTTTAAATATTAGCCTAGACTAGTACATGTACTTTTCTCTCTTGGTACAAGTCACAAGGCATGCCTGTACCTGATTCATTCTGTCAGCTCTTTGTGAATAATTTGGAAGTAATATGTTGGCTTGTTTAGTTTTCTTGGCTTGGCCTGACAAGCTCTCCTGTTGGTGTATTATAATCTATGTACATGTGTATCTGACTGCTTCAACTTATACTGTACATGTACAATGGCAAACACCAAGATGGAATTGAAATATTGTCACTGGTGGCCTGACGTGGAATGTTTCAGTTTCATTCACAGATTTCCTTTCTTTGATTTTTACTCAGTTTATCCTCATTTTTCCTATATATGTAAATGTACATGTCTGTGCATGTATACACTACATGTATATTGTTACCAGTCATCTTTGAAACAAAGAATTAAGGAATAAATTCCAAGTTTTCAAGATGTATTTTTTGCGTTGGGGAGATGTTTAATTTAATTAAACATTGTTAATAGTTACACAAGTTAATAGGTACCCATGCATGGACAAGAAAGCTTTGTCAGTAAGGGGGAAAATGCATTCCATCTGACAGGGGTTGTAAGCATGCCTCCAGCGAGGTTCCTGGCAGGTCACTAGGGAGGGACTAGGAGGCAAAGGAACAACCACTGTGTCAAATGAGTAAACTGACAGGCTCAAACTCTGTACAAACCCACTGCCGATGCTCAAGTCAAGAGACAGAATCTGTACAGTGCAGCTAGAGGAGGAGGGAAGCTCTGACAAAGTGCAGTCTGTTTGTGGTGAATAATTCACATGTGATCATCCCCCTGAAGTCCCTCCATCTCATCTACATGCTTTGACTTCTACATCTACATCTGACTTGCTTTGGCTGAAAAACAAATGCCTTTTTTGATATAAAAATGTCATAAAATTTGAATTTGGACCAGGATAGCATTTCTGCCCCTACATGTCGTTTTACATTTGAAGGTGTTTAGAATGAACAGCTCTAGTCCCAACGTGCAACTGTAAATCAAGATTAAGATTTCATTCCCCTATACCGGTAGCTCTGCAAACATGAGATTTACATGTACATGTACATATAATTGTGCACAACACATCAAACACTGGTCAGAGACTGGAGGAATTTCACTGAAGTTTCAAATAAATGTACAAGTACACGACAATTATGAAAACGTGTTCGTTCAAATGCATTGCAGTGTACAGTACCAGTATCTTACATGTACATTGTACGTGTACAATAAGGGAAAGTCTGAGTTTGCCATTCTGGGCCGATTCGTAGAATTACTAAGCTCGGAAATTTGTTTAACTTTAACCTTCCTCAATCCTTCAAAATCCTCTGGGTGGTTTTGGAGGCTTTTGGAAGA